GATGCTCGCGGGGGCAGGGGCGGGGCCGCGGGGCGCACCCAGGACGCCCGGGTAGCGCTGTCACCGGGTTAAGAGCCGTTCCTGGGCCGTCCCGGTGGCTAACACTCCTGCGAGCTTCTCCGGCTGGCCCTCGCGCTCCCATTCTGACCTTGCTGAAGTGGGCCCTTAGGCCTGCCTGTCCCCCCAGGCCTGGGGTTAGCGTGGGGGGCAGCCCTGTGCGGCATACTTGGTGAGTTATTTTTCCCCAGACGTTTCCTATTTCCATTGTTTGCGCTTGTTTTGCACTGAAATTGTTTTGCTACCCAGACGTTTAGTTAGTTTATTATAGCTCATTTCGGGGGGGGGAGGGAAGGAAGGAGAGTTTAGGAGCAAGCAAGCAAGCAAGAGGTTGCTAGAATTAGGTCTCCAGTGCTAAAAGCAAGGAGGGGCGAAATGGGGAGGGGCCCCGGGCTGATGGCCGCTTGGCTTTTTCTCCTCAGGAGTGCTGGCTCGGCGCTGGTGGAGCCCCGCCTCTCCCTGCAGGTTCAGGGCTGTCCTGAGGGATGTGTGAACTTGCTCCTGGAATAAGCCACCAGGCAGCTCTTCCTAGCAGAGAAAATGACTCAGAGCCACGTGGGGATCAACAGGGACTATGGCGACTGGGACTGGAGTGCGGATGCTGGCGAACGGGCAAGGCTTTTGCAGAGCCCCAGTATGGAGCTGGAACCCAAGGGCCGAGAGGAGCACAGGCCTGCCACGACCTCGATGCTGGGGGCAGTCTTCATTGTCGTGAATGCCGCCCTTGGCGCAGGCCTGCTCAACTTCCCAGCAGCCTTCCAGATGGCTGGTGGAGTGGCGGCAGGAATCGCCATGCAGATGGTGAAGGGGGGGCGGTCTTTCTCCATGCTGCTGGCCCAGAGCAAGCATGCTGGGCTGGGCTGGGCTGGGCTGGGCTGGGCTGGGCTGGGCTGGGGACAAGTTAGCTGGGTTCTCTGGGCTCTTTGGTCACCCTTTTCTTCCTTGGGCAGAACAGGTGTGCCTCAAAAGGGATCTGTACTTGTGGGGTGTCCTGGATGCCTGGAAAAGTGTTGGGCTTGGATCCTCACAGCCTTTGTCAGGCAGGCAGACCCCAGGCATCTCCCAGGCCTCTTAGCTCGGGGCTGTCTTCTCTCCCACCCAGGGCAAGAAGCCCAGCAAGAGAGGGAAGCGGGAGGCACTGGGCCAGCATCAGCCCTTTGGTAGTCTAGGAGAGGTTCCCTCGCTTCTCTGTTCCTCCTGACCCTGGAAGGCAGCTTGAGCAGCTGATTGTTCCTGAGTAGCAGGAGAAGGACACCCCTCTCCAGGACTTCTCATCCCCATAAGCCAGGCACAAGTGACAGAAGGACTGGTTTGCTGACCCCCTCCATGAATGCTCTTTGGGGTCATGAGCGGCCTGACCTGGCCTGAGGACTTGCATTTGGCATCTGTTCATAGGCCAGAGAGGCTTGTCCTGTGCTCTGTAGGTTGTCTGGCCACCCTTTGCCTGAAAACAGGGTGGTGGTGGTGGTGACGGTATCTGTGTCTTGCCGCGCTTCTCCTTTCTCCTGGCTAATGCTGCTGTTCTCTCCCTTCCTTGCAGGGCTTGCTGCTCTTCATTATTGGTGGATTGGTCATCCTGGCCTACTGCTCCCAGGCCAGTAACGAACGCACATACCAGGAAGTGGTGTGGGCCATTTGTGGCCGAGTCCTGGGTGTGTTGTGTGAGGTGGCCATCGTGGTCTATACTTTTGGCACTTGCATTGCCTTCCTCATTATCATCGGGGATCAGCAGGACAAGAGTGAGTGTAGCACTGGAAGCCATGGGGATGCTTTCCCTAGACTTCTCCTGGGTCCCATCCTGGGTGACTTCTTTCTTTTTGCAGTCGACTTCCTTTTTAACTCTGGAAGTAATAAAATGGGCTGGCCCCCATTTTTCACCTGTGGTATGCTAGATCATCTGAGGCCCGTGACTTGCTCAGTGTTTCTCAATTAAAATTCCACAATTAGAATTCATTCTGAGTTTTCTCTAAGACAGAGCACTGCTGTCTTTCAATCCCCCAGTGTTGGCGCAAACGCTTTTCTCTGCAGGGCCAACCTGCGTACTGTTTGAATTATCTTTGGCATGCTCATCCTACTAGTAAGGATTTCTTTGGTGGATTGGGCCCTTGGATGCCGACTATCTCCTTTTGTATCTCGGGAAGTAATTCCAGTGTTGGTGAAGAACTGCACCAGAGAAGGGAAGAGCTGCTGGTACACAGATCGCAAATGCACCATCACCGTCACAGCCTTCCTGTTCATCCTTCCTCTCTCCATTCCCAAAGAAATTGGCTTCCAGAAATACGCCAGGTATGGTGCAGGGGAGGGGAGGGCTGCTGCTGGATGTTGGGTTTTATATCAGCCTTTCACCAAATCACACATACAAAGAGTTTGCCTTCGTTAGGGTTTTCCTTAATATGGTACAGATCGTAGACACAAAGACTGCATTTGTTTTACTTCCCACAAATGCTGTTTTATTATACAAATTTAAAGTCCTATTTCATACTTCTAATCTTTGCTGTCTTCCTGGCTTGACTCCTTTCTTGCCTCACCCACCCACAAGCTTGCTTTCTGTTTGGTTTTATGGGGCAAACTCTCCAATTAAGGAGAGGGTGGGACTGTTTTAACTCTCTTTCCCAGGAGAGAAAATAATGCCTGTTCCACAGGCTTGTTCTTATCCAGGCCAGCAGCAGAGAAGTCTCATAAAGAAGCAGTTATATATGAAATGTTCCCTGTTGATCGGCACCTCCCATGTTTTGCTCTTTTTCAGCTCCTTGAGTGTGATCGGGACATGGTATGTCACAATCGTCGTCATCATAAAGTACTTTTGGCCTGATCAGGTGATCTCCCCAGAGGACATTCCAACCAGGTACGTATGTATATAGAGGCAAAGCCTGGTGGGGGGTGACATAAGGGCAAAGTCATGATACCCCCTCCCCAAATTTTTTACCGTCTCAGTCTTCATTTTCCACAGCAAAGCAGAAGAGAAATCTGGCTGTCTTTTACGAAATGTTTAAGCAAAAAGGGTTCCAGCAAAGGTTTAAAAGACAGCGTCAATTACTGTGTATTCTTTGGGTTGGCCAAATATCCCCACTCTTGGTTAGCAGTAGTAACTGACTCTCCTGGGGAAGGGCCCTCTCCCTTGTAGGGGTTGTCCTATAGCTGCAGCTGCTGTTCTGCTCAGGGGATGAGAGTAACTGCCTGGAAAGGGGGCTGCTCCCTTTGCACAGTCCTGGTCAGATTGGCAGCTTTGTTTCATCCCTGTAACAGTGGAAAACAACACCACCTTTAGGTGCCTTAGCTGGAACTTCTTCTAATGAGGTGCTCTTGGGAGGGAATGCCTCGGTCCTGGAGAAGGGACCCAAGCCTCAGCTAATCAGGTTCCTGTTCGTCCCCACAGCCCTTCTTCTTGGGTGTCTGTCTTCAATGCCATGCCCACCATTTGCTTTGGCTTCCAGGTAATGTTCAAGCATCTCTATTGTCTGCTACTGTGTTTTACCAAGAGCAGAGTTTGCACCTTCCTTCCCATGCTGCCGAGGGAGCAGTTGGTGCAACCACAGGACGGAAACACTTTTGGTCCTTGAGACCTCTAGATGGGGTAGCTTCACCCCTTTTAGTTTCTGAGCTACCCTGCCCCCCCCCCCCAGGGCTATTGTTGGCTTTGTTTGAAGGAGTCTCTTCATATTTGCATATTTTCTATGTATCAAACAAAGCCAGTCTGAAATGGGAGGGTTCAAGAGTTGGATGTGGACGGGGTCGGGATGTATGCATGACTGGAGTGGGTTTTCAATGGCCCTCCTCTTGGATTGAATTTTTTCTTTTGCAAGATTGCAAATTAGCTGACAAAATGCCTTTTGTGGATACAACACCTGTTTAAAGTTTTTTGGATAAATAGTTTTCTAAAGAGCAGAAAGTGATTGGTAGAAATGCAAGATGGGAATCAAAGGTCAGAGGCATTTGATCACTCTGTACTAGAGAAAGTTCATAACTGACCATGGAGAGGTAACACAAAGAAATAGCCATTCTTATGGGCACATTTCTGCCTGTGACAACTCAAGGGATTTTTTTATGGTTTAGAGAGGAAGAGTGATTGTGACTCCCATGTGAGCTGACCACTTCCTGAGTAGTGATTTAGGGAAGCCTTCTTTGGCAGCAGATTGACGAAAACTGAAAAGAAATGGCAGTTTGGAGATCCTGAGGAGGCACAGGGTGGCCTGCAGGAATCTACCATTCAGTTGGTGTTCTTTGGGAATGAAGAAAAGGTTGGCTGCAGCCCAGGATTCAGATTGAAAATGTGCCTAACAGCCTGGAAAAAAAGACAAAGGTCGCATGTAGCAGACTGAAGAGTTTATCTTCTAACAAAGAGGGTTTGTAAGTGGCCATGCATACCTAGGAGCCATTTTGTGGGCACACCCATGGCATGCTCTCAGAATCCTGTCTCCACCCACCATTTCAACACATCTGCCCATCCTTAGAATGGACTTGTCAGTTGGAGGGTGTCTAAGTCTCCTCTGCAAGCCCCTCCCTCCCCAGGACCATTGGTTGTTTTTACATTTCAAACCATGAGCCTTGTAGAACAGTCCTGTGGGGCACCCCAGGTGCTCCCCACAGTGTTCTGCCCAGTGAAGAAAGCCAAGTGGGTTGGCTGGTCGTAGACATGGAAAGCTTGCATTCAAATTGCTTTTAGCTATGACGGTCTCAGAGCAACTCAAATGAACTCATCCTCCTCCCTGCTGGGAATTGTGGAGGCAAGTTAAGAGCCTTCTGGGGGAAGTTTCTGCCTGGGATGTCTGGCATCATAGGAGGCAAATGAAGATGTGCTGATCAGGTGCTTGCAGGGGAGGGCAGTGTGGCTCTCAATGGTCTCTGCAGCTTGGGATTCCTTGTCCAGGTTGCTTCTACAACAGCCAGAGGCTTTAGACTTCTGCCGCTGGTGGGTTAATGGCAGTGTCTCTGCCATCTAGGATTTGATCACTGGTACACCTGCCCACCTGGCAGATGTCTCAGATCTTGGAAGAACCAGGTACATAATTGCCCCATCTTCATGCCAAGATCCTTGTACAACAGCAGCTCCCCTGTGTATGGGAGGGGCAGAGAAGTCCTTTGAGAAGCCCTTGCTCTGGTTTTGTTGCCTGGGTTGGCCTCTGAATTTCAAAACAGGGTGTTCTGGGGAGAACAGGGATGCTCTGAGGACACAGCCTGTTATGCTTCCCATGTGTGTCAAGGAGGAGTTCTTAGACCAGCTTTAGGCTTGTACTTGAGTAAGTTCTCCAGCTACTGTAGAAAGGGTTGAAATGGAATTTGGGTTTTTTTAGGAGATTAATACTTGATAGTGGCAAGGTATAGCTGCCAAGCTAAGTTAAAAAGGGTAACAGTTAAAATGATTCTCAGGTATTGGAATGAAATGCAGATAGTAATTATCCCATCATTTGGTTGAGGAGGAAGTTTTTTCCATGACCAAGGAATTTTGGATTCCTAGTTGTGAATTTAGATATTTCCAGATCAGAACCAAAATGGGTGTACTTCTGCAGAGGCCTTGAATTGCCATAATGCCAAGCCTGAATGGACCTGGTGCAGTAAAATTCAGAGTTCAGGTTGGGGGAGGCAGACCTGACCTTGGGTCATCTCAAAGCAACTTTGCTGTTCCCCACCAGCTACCAAGTCTTTCCCTCCCCTTTTGTAGTGCCACGTCAGCAGCGTGCCCATCTTTAACAGCATGAAGTGTCCTCAGGTAAGGTCCTGGGGAGTTGTCGTGACAGCAGCCATGGTCATCGCCCTCTTTGTCTACACAGGCACAGGTAAGGAGGGGATCCTACAAACCCAACTTCTTGTTCTGTCCAGTTGCTTCTGCTCTGGCCACATGGTGTTCCATGGTCTGGGGGAATCTCCTCCCCCCTTTCTCTGTCTCTGCTAGGAGTCTGTGGTTTCCTGACCTTTGGTGAGAGGGTGAAGCAGGATGTGCTGCTCTCCTACCCCTCGGATGACGTTCCAGTAGCCATAGCACGGGCCTTCATCATTCTCTCTGTTCTGACTTCTTACCCGATCTTGCACTTCTGTGGCAGGTGAGCGGGCAGGCAGGCTGCCCGGCCGGCCGGCCGGGGGAACGTGGGAATACGTGTCTGCTAATCCTTCTAAGGTCTTCCTCCTAGAGCTGTCGTGGAAGGCCTGTGGTTGCGCTACAAAGGGGAAGCAGTGGAAGAAGACGTGGTTCAGGAGCGACGCCGACGCCTGTTGCAGACCATCTGCTGGTTCCTTCTCACCCTCCTCCTGGCCTTGTTCATTCCAGACATTGGCAGAGTCATCTCCGTCATTGGGGGGCTGGCTGCCTGCTTCATCTTTGTCTTCCCAGGTAGAGAAAGGTTTTCCTGGCTTGGCTGGTGGAAGGAAAGTAGCTTCTGTTTGGGATCCCCACTGTAGGGCTTCAGTTTTATTCATGCTGGTGCTTGGATGGGGCTACTAGGTCCAGGGCCTGCAGCTTCAGGGACAAAATCACTAAGAAATGTGGCTATGGCTGCCCCTGGACAGCCGTCTCATTTTCACTGGCGCAGGAAAGCGGCAGGAGCAGCAGAAGACAAGTCTAGATAGGGGGAGGAAGAGCCTGGGAGAGAACACATGCAGGGTTTCCTCTGCAACTCCAAGGATGGGATGGCTTTCTGATTGCTGCTTGGTAGGAAGCATCAACTGCAAATGAATGAATGAATGAATGAATGGAGCTATGCTTCCTCCTAACCATCAGGTGCTCCCAGTGGGATGGGTGAGCTTGATCTCTGTGGCCATTGTGAAACTGTTGAAAGGCTGCAAAACTCCTGCTCTGTTTTTTCCTTGCCAGGACTTTGCCTCATTCATACCAAGCTTTCCGAAGTTCAGGGAGCTGGACAAGTGGGGTAAGAGTGGTGCTTTCGCTTATCTCTCCCCCTTCCTATTCTCCTGTAAACAGCTGCTGCCAGTTTTCCTTGCTGGTCTGACTGTGTTTCTCTCTTTCTTCACCTCAGCTGGTGGACGGTGGTTAGCTATGGGATATTCATGGTCGTTCTTGGCACATTCATCTTTGGACAGACAACTGCTAATGCCATCTCCATGGATCTCAGGAAGTGACCCACCAACTCTACCTCATTGGACCTATATTGTCCCCTGTGGAATTTAAGTAGCCAAAATGGAGACGTGAACCCAATTTTTGGGATACCTTAGCACTGACAAAACAAAACAAGACTTTTGGCCTTGCTTCAGTGCACCCTCATTGAAAGGGGACCTGAGGACTTCAGCAAATGAGGGGGATGTCTCTTCATTCGGCCAAGGAGCTCAGCTTTTCTGTTTGGACCAAGGGTGGAATAAAGTGAATGCATTTGATTGTAACACCATTGGGGAGCATTAGGCAAAATTATTGTGACATTAACTACTTAAAGGAATGGGTTTTTACAAGTCAGCATGTGGAAAGCACACTTCTCAACCATCTTCCCTAAAAAAGGGAGGTGGGAGACTGGACAAAAATTGTTCAGTGCGGTGGAATCCAGGGATGGTTTCTTGAGGAGGGGATGCACCAGCACCTCTTTAAAGACGACTGGAAACCCTCCCTCCCTCAAGGATGAATTCACCATCACCTGGACCAACCACATATCACCTCCCAAGCAGCCTTGACCAGCCAGGAGGGGCATGGATCTAATTGACGAGTGGTGGCATTGACAGTCCAGAGGACCCTGTCCACTTCCTCAGGTCCAACAGGATGAAACTGTTCCCAGATAACAGGGTAAGTCTATACCCTGGGCATCTCCATAGGCCATGCCCCACGCTTGGAATCCAACTAGGAATGGATCTGAGCGATTTTATCCTCCAGATGCCCCAAAAAACTCCTCTGCATGGCCCTGTAAATGGGCCACTGGGCCCTCCTTTCCCAAGAGGGATCAGGTGATCTGAAACAGGGCCGCTTGGCGGCATTCTGTGGATGCAATAAGAACGGAGAAATACGTTTCACCACTCTTACCGCCACAAGGTAAGCCTTAATGGCGGCTCTAGCCTGTGTTTGGTCGGGTTCAGTTATCTTTCCTCTGTTTGTGTCATCTGCAAATCAGATAATCATATTGTCTAATAAATAAGTGGCACTGGATACAACAGTTTAACCAGTTCGGGGTATCCATCTAACAATGTCATAATCCAGCCCATATTTTGCCATCTGCTAGAACCATCTGCTGGGTTCATTGCTTTGCTGAAGTCAAGGTATGCTAGGAGCACTGCATTACAATAGTCAGCCAAGCCGGTCACTGTTAAAAAAGGAGATCAGGTTGATTTGTCTTGATAAACGCTTGCTGGCTTCTGCTAAGCAATGCATCCTGGTGAGATGCATGTGAGGGTCAGGGCAACATACCATTCCATTCCTGCCTGTGAATTACTTTCTATCAGCACAGAGACTGGGAGCAGGACATAAGCAACTCTGGATATATTTTTGTTCTGCTTTGTTGCTTGTGTCCTCAGTTTCGTACTTGAAGCTCTTCCAGGTGGTTTCTTATCAATGCCTAGTTTAAGAGTCTACAAACAAAGTCAGCCTAACACTGAGCCTCGGGTAAACATTGATCTGTACATTCTCTAGACTTATATCTGTTAAAGGAGGTTGAGGCAGCTGTGTGACCTTTTCTCTGGAGCTTTACATGCAACGGCTTTGTCTAATTTTATTGGATTTGCTGTTGTTGCTAATTTGTGCATCAATGCTTAATTCTGAATCTGCAGGACAGATAACAAAGAATGAGAACACCAAAGGAGACACCAGGATGGCAACAAACTTTGAGAAAGTTTATTAAAGAAATGTCCCTGAATATATTCACAGTGCCAGGGGGTTCTTCCTCAATCAGCCTGGTGAGGCAGAGAACGGTGAGGATGGTGTCTGGAATTCAACTCACAAAGGAGTTGCTTTCATGGGGCACGTTTTATAACCCACCTTCGGGTGGTGCACCAGTTACGCCCCTTCTTGGATCAGGAGGCTCTGGTCAGTCACTCACACCCTGGTCATCTCTCGGTTAGACTACTGCAATGCATTCTACATGAGGATACCATGAAGAGTATCCAGAAGCTACAGCTGGTTCAAAATGCAGTCACACAGATGATATGTGCCCCTAGGATGGCACATGTAACACCTTTGCTGTGGGAGCTGCACTGGGTGCTGGTTTACTTCTGGGTCCAATTCAAGGTGTTAGTTATTACCTTTAAAGGCCTACATGGCATGGGTCCAGGTTACCTGAGGGACCATCTCATCCCCATTACATCATCCTGTCCCACCCGGTCAGGCAGAGAGGGCATGTTGTGGATCCCATCAGTGAGGGAATGTCGGCTGGCGGGGCCCAGGAGGAGACCCTTCTCTGCCATTGCCCCCACCCTTTGGAATATTCTCCCCCCCAGCGGTGCAGCGGGCCCCTATCCTCCCGGCTTTCCAAAAAGGCTTAAAGAGCTGGCTCTGTCAGTGTGTGTGGAGTGATATGGGCTGTACCCATCCCTGGGGGTGGTTATCTCCCTGATGATGCTCCTCGGAATTACTTA